TGAACAACCAATGATCCACAAATTTTTATTTGTGTTACAGATTCCAATGAATCGCGTGATAGGCCACAGTGGATTTGGTGGACAAGAAGCCTACTTCGATTTAGACAATGACCTTTCATTTGCATACACAACAACGACGTTATCACCGTCAGACTTTGGTAAAGACAAGAGATACGTCTCGCTATTACGAGCAACGTACAACAGCATTGGACGGACCCCAGCTCTGTAGGTAGGTGATTGTTTGAATATTAACGTCAGAAACATTTAACGGCACTTGCTATCACAGATCACAGATATAGAAAGAAAAAAATATAAAGTTTAATCTCACCAACTTTAGATTGTTTTTTCGTTTATTCTCTCGTGTAAAATGATTTTTTTTCTCAATTTCAGATTACTCTCACGAAAAACAGCTTTGCTAGCAATGGAAAAAAATGATATGTTACACTAGAAGCATGCTTACATGTCAACCTATCGAATGGTTAAACTTTTTTGAAGACCTATACCGTAACATTTTACTAAGACTACATCTTAGTGAGCTGATGTAATGTATGTTGGATGTTCCTACTGTAAGCATTCAATACGAAGTGGCCAAGTTGGAATTAGTGACGATGACCCACAGTGATGTCTTATTATTGCTGTGTGGATAACTATGCCAGTAGTGTGACATTTTGCAATGAATAATTTCAATAGGTGTAATTCCTAACCACGTGTTACTGTTTTTGTTTAATTTGCTTTCCCGAGCAATTGTGTTATTATTGTTTTAATATATACTGCCATCTGAATAGTGAACATGCTTTTTTACCGAGATCAACATGTCGGACTGTGTTTGTTCAACAGACTTTATTCTCAAGTGGCCGCTGATATCTCGTTCAGAGCGAGAGTGCCACATGACATATTTTGTTCCCTCCCCAAATAGTTCCCACAAATTCTCTCTCGCTATCGCGCTTAATACCGCGGCTAAATAGTTCAGTGAAACAGTGGTCGCGATGTCGGTAGTATGTCCATAGAATATCTCAGTTGACACGAAATATCAGCGAGTTAAAGGGAAACTATTTTCTCGATTGCATCGTCCACCTGCACGGTGTTGTTCCGCTCGGACATTCCTCCCTCGACATCCCAAGACAATG